AATTTACTGTGAAATATAGTACAGCATCTGGTATGTATTACAACTTTACATTTGCTGCACATCATCCTTTAATTTTTTTGCTATGCGTAAGTGATGGTTTACCACTTACTATTTGTTTATTACCACTGTACCTCATAGTCTGTAACTCTTGTCAACAGCTTTTACATTAACGCTGGGTCTTTTAAGTGAAACTGTTTCAGACATTTTTTGAAAATATGCGAGACATATCTCTCTAGCAAATCCAAGAAAATCAAGCGGGTGTGTTTTGCCTCTAGCCCATTTGTGAAACTGTCAGGCATTGCTAACTGAGCAATTTAGAGAATTAGAAAAATTTGCCAATACGACTTCATACCTCTTATATTAACTCTCATTATTGTTATGTTCTCATTTATGCTGGCAACACAGATATATAGGAAATCGACATCGAAATGGGAAATATATAAAAAAAATTGATATCGAAATGAGAAATTGATATTGAAATGCGAATACATCGAAATACGAAATCGATATCGAAATTGAAAATGATTATCGAAATGGGAAATGAATATGGAATTGGGAAATTAACATTGAAATGGGAAACCGATATCTAAATGGAAAATATACTTCGAAACAATAAATTGATAACAAAATGGGAAAATAATATCGTAATTATCAATATGAAAAATCAATAGGGAAATGGTAAATCGATATCAAATAGGGGAGTCGATATCGAAAAGCAAATCGATATCAAAGTGTGAAATCGGTATCAAAATGGGATTCTAATATTTTAATTGGAAATTTATTAGTAGTCGATATCGACATTGGAAATCGATTTCAATATAAAAAATCGATATCGAAATGGGAAAAATAATATCGATATAGGAAATTGATATTAAAAGTGAAATCGAAATGAATATGAGAAAATGAAATCAAAATGGAAAATTGGTTATAAAGTAGTGGGGTGAAGTGAAGAGAGGTGAGGTTACGTCAGGTTTGGTCAGGACAGGTCAGGTCAGTTCAGGGTAAATTAGGTTAGGTTACTTTATGTTAGGTTAGGTTAAAATATGATATGTAAGTTAAAGGTTGGTTCATCAAAAATATTTAAACATTCTTTTCTGGATTGTAGAAGAGATTTGTATTCTCGAGGTACGGGTCGTGTCATAACAGTTAGATTAGGTGACGTCAGGGTGACGAACCCTGGCCAAAAAATAATCAAATTAATATATTCACTTTGATTAATTAATACAAGTGTTACTGTTAGAAACAAGTCGGATATCTATGACTGTAGTACATGAGAATGATGACACCTACATCCCTATACAATTAGGTAAACAGCACTTCTAGATCTTTTTTATATTTAGTGTTTTCTGTCATAGGTTGGTTACTACTACACCTAGGAGATCTGTCTTCTCGTATTCACTTTGAAGACTCATCTGCTAAGAAAAGAAGTAAATAAGGACGGATGGAATTGTGAAGAGTTTAAAAGAAGTAATGTTAATTTTTGAAAATGCCCAGAGTCCTAATGAAAAAAAATGAGTAACTAGAATTTTTAATACTTTTTTTGAAAAAATTAAATTGTATAATTATACATAAGTAAAAATTATTACATAACTATTTTTAAAGGCGAAAAATATTGTCACTTACCAGAATGTCACTCCTAAATCATGGGGTATCCTAGATTTTATTTGCAACATTGTCTTTCTGGCTGTCTTGTATGAAAACTGAATATTTTTCTTTCAAATGTACCTCACCTCACCATACCTAACCTAACGGTTATGACACCAGGTCGTGCAGTACCTCAAGAATACACTTCTCTTCTTGCATGCTACATAGAATGCTTAAATGTTTGATAGGCGTTGCTATCGTACTAGTATTCCTTGGTATTTAACAATTGAATGCATCAATTACTTCGTTACACATCTGGGTGAAATGTAATAATTTTTATAATAATATAATTTCATAATATGGAAAATTATTATGGAAATATTCAAAAAGTAAAGTTTCTTCTCTTAAACTGTGTACATTTTCTTCTTTTATTTGCAAATGAGACTTCAAAAAATAATACCTGGGGAAGACAGATCTCCTAGGTGTAGTGAAACCAACCTGCCTATGGCAGAAAACACTAAATATAAAATAGGTCTAGAAGTGCTCTTTACTTAAGTGTAGAAGAATGTGGTGTACTGTAAAGAGTGAAGAAATGTCTTGTATGGTTTTGTATGTGTTTCACCTGTAACGGTATTTCGCTTATCACCTGTGATTTTGTGGAACATTTAGGTTACGTGTTCAAAAATGTAGATTTCTGAAGAGTAAATGCCTTTTTTTTATATTTTTATTACTACCACAAAAAGGGAAAAGCTAACTGTTATAGCATATTAAATATACCTGAAATATTTTTAAGAGAGTGTTGTGAATTGTTCCCAGAAATCTCTCGATAATATTAAAATAAATATTTATTGAAAATTGTTTTCGCACATCAACTGCATATTTCTGATATTTATTATATTCGTTTTATACTATGTTAGTAAAACGGAAGTATACTAGTAGGGGGAATATGCGGGTCTGGGAACAGGAAGTTGATAAGATAAGCTTATCTTATCAACTTCCTGTTCCCAGACCCGCATGACCCTGAGCGGCCCATGACGTCATAGGAGCTGAGGGCGTGACGTGGAGATGCAGCGCATGCGCGCGCTCTACCGGCGAATTGTGGAAGCGTATGTGTGTGTGTGTGCACGCGCGCGCGCGCTCTGGCAGCGAAGTGCGTCACGTGCGTGTGTGAGTGTGTTTCAAAAATGCCAGCCGTCCGAGGGGTGGATTCGAACCAGCCGCAGTCCCGTTTCCTGCGTACTTAAGAAGGGGGGGTTGTCCAGCGCTTTGGCTCTGAGCTACGGCATCTCGAGCGGAGCTGTCTGGTTAGGGGTCCTGATATTACGCGGAGCAGGGGCAACGGCAATGGCGGCGGCGGCGATGCCGGATGTTGTGGTTGATAAGATAGCAGTGGGCGCCGCGCGCTGGCTGCTTTTATCGCGACCGCACTCATTAGCGCTCGTGAGCATAGAGATAATACGCGCGCGCGCTTTCTGTGAGCGACTCAGGGAACGAGAGGAGGTGGCGGTGGCGCGCTCTATGAGCGACGTCGGGAGAAGGAGGCGGCGGCGGCGCGCGCATTTTGAATGCACTTTATATAGGTTCATAGCGCGCGCCAGCCGCGCGTCTCTCACCCTCTCTCTCTCTCTTTCGAGCCGAGAGCGCTGACGCTCGCTCCCCCCGCTGAAAAGACTTTCATAATGGGGAAAAAAGGAAAATACCTACAAGGCAGTGTCAGGAAAAACAAATGAAAAACAGTACATGAAAGAATGTTTTTAGATTTATTGAAATCAAATGAAAATCAAATTATACATAGAATCCTCCATTTCCATAGATTTCTTTGCGAATTATGTTCCGCTCTCTTTTCAGATGTCGTTCAATCTCCTTTCCTGATAGTGCACTCCACTTTTTGAGACGGTAATCTCTGAAGATTTCGCCGATTGCAACGTGTTCGCTCAGAGTAAACCCGTTGAGATCTCTATTGCCGTCAGCACCGTGTTCGAGGAGCAGTCTACCGATGGAATATTGCTCGAAGTGTACCGCGTGTTCCAGCGGCGTCAGTCCTTCTCGATCACGCACGTCAACAAAGTTTGCGCCACCACCACCACCACATTCTTGCAAGCAGCGTAGCACCACGGCGGTGTTGCCGGCTTGGACGTCCAGGTGGAAGGGGGTGAAACCCGTACGCGGGAGCATCTTAAAATATTTCTCGATGCGCGTAGCCGCGACCATCACGAATAGCGTGAAGGTGTTTTTGTTTGTTAAAAGTCCTCTCTTCTACACTCAATGCACTTCCACTTCCGCGACTCGTTGTGCGCGTGTTCGAAACAAGGCAGCACTTCTTCTCGCCGACACCACAAACACTTCCACTTCGGCAACGGTTGTTTGTTGTTGTAATGACGAAGACAAGGCAGGAGTCGACGAATGTCTCGGTGCTGCTGCACGTCTTTCGACAGGCGGTGGAAGACAGAAGGCACGTCCTTCGCGGCCCAATGTAATAGCAAGTCGATAGGAAGAAGCTGCAGAGAGCGATCGTCGAGTCCGAGAAGAGAACAACCGTCGTTGATGAAACGTTGTAAGACAAGTTCCAACTCGAGATTGCGCTGACGTAGATGGGCCATGCGTCAGCTGGAGATGAAACAAAACTTAGTCACGGTCACTATCACTACGGGCTGGAGAGTACCCTGGAGGCGTATTTTCGAACGGCGGCCGAAGAGACTGAATGGTTTGACGAACGCGAGAAACGCGTTGTCGCAGTGCTGCACCGTACGGATCTTGAAAAGAGGTGACTGAGAGCTTCGATGAGTGCTAACACTTCAGCGTGCACCGTGAGAATAAAGTCTTCCGGTCAGTCTACCTAAAGTTTTAATCCAAACGTAATGGGACCATCCACCATCGCCGTGAATCAACAAGAAATTGAAATGGTTCTCTTTCTTCGTACCCGCAAAGTGTACAGGACCTACGATTTTCCAAGATTTTTTTGCCGAATCAAACTCTAATGTGAAAACGTTAAAGGAAAAGCTAGAATTTTGACGTTCGAAACGTTTCATCTCTTGAACGGGCAGGGGCCAGGAGATGCCGCGCAAATCGAGACTGTTTTCCAAATGGTCGAAAAGTCTTTGATAGGTACCGGTACGATTAGAACTCAAATGTGTTTGGGGGCTGGTGTTTATGAAAAAGAGCCGAAGCCACCGCCCACAGGAAACATTTATGGTCTCGATTTTGCACGTTGATCACAGCACGACGTCTCGCAATGGTAATCGGAAGAGGAAGAAAAGAAGAGGCAGAATGTGCGATAGGTTCGAACAAGTGAGCCGAAACATGAAGAGCGACGATAGAGGCCAACGATTTTCCGGAATCTCTCCGGAAAACTCGTCGAATTTGGAATTTATAGGCTGCGCGATACGAGAAAGGAAAAATTCCAAAATGTCATCCCCTCACGATAACACTGCAGTCCGTGCCGAAAGAAAGATGGGCTGCAGCACCCCTAAGATTTCGTGCGTCTCGACGTTCTCTTTCTCAATCAAAAACTGACACTCGAGTTGCGCGAAAATTTTGAAACTAGGTCGGTCGAGAGCGTTATTGAGCTCTTCAAACATCTTATAATGGAAGGGAACACGACAACGGTTGAGAAACTCGACCGGATCCGTGATGTGTGGGGGAGGAGGATTCGTAATGACACCCCGAACGACACGTCTGTTTAAAGACTGCGCGACGTCCGTCCATTGGAGAGCGTTTGCAATACAAGAACTGCGTTGTTGATTTGTCTGACCTATAGAAACAAATAAAACACACACAAAAGGCATAAATGAATACAATTCGACGCATCACTTACGCACACCACTACTACAAAAATATTTTACCATCCTCACGCTGCGGAGAAGTCGCTTCCGCTTGTCGACCTACATGAGTCTCACGCTGTCTCACTCACAATCACACCGTTTAACAAAGTCAAACAATAAACACGTTACAGCGTAAATAACTATAAAGACGGCCGTTACGAAAAAACAATTCGATAGAATGTCCGCGCTATCCATGATCACAGCGAACCAGCGACTAAGGGCGGACGTCTGCAGACGTGATGTTTTAAAACTTCACACTATCACACTCATTATCAGGGCGCCAGCATTGCAGCACATTACGTCACAGATTATACACGCACAGCGCTAATGAGTGGAAGACGGAGCACCGCAAGCGATAGCGATAACACAATCAGAGTGACTACCACATAGATTGCAGCTAATGAGCGGAAGACGTGGGTCGCTCAAGCAAGCGATAGTGGTAAGAACAGCACGCCGAACCGCAAGCGATAACGATAAGAACGCCTGGGTAATTGGACGTCAGCCAGGCATTTATATAGGGCCCCATCCGAGCAACGCACAGCCGACCGCTTGTAGTGACAGTACGCACAGTGCACAGCTTGTAGTGACAGTACGCAATGGCTGAAAAAAGGACCGCAGCCAAGGACACCGCGGGAGCAGATTCTGATGCAAAACATCGAAAACTGTAAGTAACATGCAAAGCATCAGCAAACACCGCAGCGAACACATACGCATTGTTAACAACATTTTTATATTTGACAGAGACACTCCTCATTTTTATATAAACACGCAAGACCTGCTAGACGAAGACGAAGATATCATCGTTCCGGATTCGGACGAAGATGTTTTTGAAAACGCAAATAGACAGGCACTCGTGTCATTTCATGGTAATGAAAACATGGGTGAAATGGTTTTGCCATTCAACCCCCCAACAACCGTGGACGAAACCCGACAACGGATCTTTAATAAACAGGATGCTCAAGCTGTGAGACTCGTCCCAGGAAACCAAAATTGCATTGTATTGATTTATAAAAAATTGAAGACACAAGAGTAAGTATATAAATCATCAAAGAATAAATGACATATATGAAATTAATATTTTTTAATTATTATATTATAATTAATAATTTTTATTGCAGCCCATGGACCGAAATTGAGAGAAAGGCAGAGTCGGAACACAACAGGCTAAAGTTCGAAAACATTCCGAAGGGATTGTTCTTCGAAATTACCGATATAACGTTAATTGACACTAGAAAATATGATAAAACATCATATGTAGCTACGCTGAACAATATGTTTGGCTTTTTCTTACCAACGAGGTGCTTCTCTTTTAAAATTTAAAAAAATTAATTATATTTTTTAAAAAAAATGTGTACTTACCTTTTTTCTTTTTCTTTACTGCTGAAATTCAACAGATAGGACGAGAAAATCGTCTGCCGTACTCCCCTCGCAAACCGACATTAAGATCACGTGGCAAACTGGTACACCACTGCCAGCTGCCGTCACAGCGTTTTGTTTCATTATCTACAAAACGGAAGTACAATATGCACCAATCGACGACTTTGTGGTGAAGAAAAACGTGATCGTATAAGACGTCGTGTATTTCGC